TGATATCCAGAATTTACAAAGAACTAAAACAGATTTACAAGAAAAAAACAAACAAGCCCATTCAACAGTGGGCGAAGGATATGAACAGACACTTTACAAAAGAAGACATACGTGAGGCCAACAAACATATGAAAAAATGCTCATCATCACTGGTCATCAGAGAAATGCAAATCAAAACTACATTGAGATACCATCTCACACCAGTTAGAATGGCGATCATTAAAAAATCTGGAGACAACAGATGCTGGAGAGGATGTGGAGAAATAGGAACACTTTTACACTGTTGGTGGGAGTGTAAATTAGTTCAACCATTGTGGAAGACAGTGTGGCGATTTTTCAAGGACCTAGAAATAGAAAAATTCCATTTGACCCAGCAATCCCATTACTGGGTATATATCCAAAGAATTATAAATCTTTCTACTATAAGGACACGTGCACACGAATGTTCATTGCAGCACTGTTTACAATACAAAGACCTGGAACCAACCCAAATGCCCATTGATGATAGACTGGACAGGGAAAATGTGGCACATATACACCATGGAATATTATGCAGCCATAAAAAACGATGAGTTCGTGTCCTTTGTAGGGACATGGATGAACCTGGAAACCATCATTCTCAGCAAACTGACACAAGAGCAGAAAATCAAACGTCGCATGTTATCACTCATAGGCGGGTGTTGAACAATGAGAACACATGGACACAGGGAGGGGAGCACTATACACTGGGGTCTGTTGGGGGGAAATAGGGGAGGGACAGCAGGGGGTGGGGAGTTGGGGAGAGATAGCATGGGGAGAAATGCCAGATGTAGGTGATGGGGAGGAAGGTAGCAAATCACACTGCCACGTGTGTACCTATGCAACAATCTTGCATGTTCTTCACATGTACCCCAAAATCTAAAATGCAATAAAATAAAATTAAATTTAAAAAAAAAACGTAATTCTTATTTGGGGTTGTAGACAAAAAGTTTTATGAAAAATACTCTTGGCTAGGCATGGTGGCATGTGCATGTAATACCTGCACTTTGGGAGGCCGAGATGGGCAGATCTCTTGAGCATAGGAGTTTGAGACCAGCCTGAGCAACATGCGAAAACCCATCACTATAACAATTAGCTTGATGTCGTGCTATGTGCCTGTAGCCCCAGCTACTCAGGAGGCTGAGGTGAGAGGATGGATGCCTGGGAGGCTGAGGCTACAGTGAGTCAGGATCGTGCCACTGCAATCCAGCCTAGGTGGCAGAGACCTTGTCTCAAAAAACAAACAGAAAAACACCATCATAGAGAATAGAGCCCAGATCCAACCAGACACGTGGCCTGGGGAGCCCAGCCTGCCCAGCAGCCTGGGAAGCGCTGGAAGGCACTGGAACTTAGTTTGCAGGGGTCTCTGCCCTCAGGCCGCTGCATTTCTGCTGATTTGTATGTTTTGAGGACAGCAGGCAGAGGGTAGAGTAAGGAGACTACCGGACTGCAGAACAGTTTGCAAAGCATAGCTGGCTGCTTTTTTCTGTAGCTTGTTAGGAGGGTAGTAAAGACCCACAGTTGCTTTAGTTCTCTCAAATTTCAAAATCTGCATTGCCTTCCGCTTAAGGACCACCATTCCTACACGAGGAACCATTTGAATAAGGCCAGGAGCCTTCAGGTTCACTTGTGTCAGGGTGGAGAGGGGAACTGGCCACCAATTCAGAGTGGGCAAGACAGGCATACCGGGTGCTGGTCTTGGTAGTGTCCTCAGTTAGGTCCTTTGCTTGTTCTGGGAGCCTCCAGAGTATGCTCCTGTGTGTGTGACTTCATGGGACTGGGCTCTGAGAAGGCCGTGGCTTTGTTGGCCCTGCCAGGGACTGCCACACCAGGCCACAGGGCTGTGGTCAAGCTGGCCAGGGAGCCAGGTTCAGGGAGCTGCTCTGCTTGGAGCCAACACTTACAGAGTGAGCCTTCTCCTTGGACTTGTTATCTGTACTGACTCTTATTTCTGCCTCATTCCTTTCTGAAAATAAGTTGGAAGTCTGAAGTCCATTGGTAAGTTCTGCCTGTAAGGACAGAAATTAGAGGTGTACAATGAATATCGTAAATTATAGAAATGTATTCCACTCCAGTGTAACAGCGTTCTGTGAGGCCATCTCCTCCAGACCGTGGCTCTAGGGTATAGCCCTGTGACTTCATTTATTCCTCGAATAAGAAAATGCTTGAGGACCAGGGACTGTGCTAGCACCAAAAATCCAGTGGTGAACAAAATGGCTTCATGAGTTCACTGTCTAGTAAGCGAGACGCACATTAAAGAAAAAAACGTCATTTGCGTAGCTATGTAATTACAACTGTGATGGGAACTACAAAGGGAAGGCCAAGAGGGAACATGATTTAGATGAGGTTACAGGGAGGGCCTCTCTGAGGAAGCAGCACTTACACTTAGCCATGAGGGATGAATAGCAGTTAGTCAGGTGAGGTGAGTATTCCAGGTACAGAACAGCATGTGCAAAGGGTCTGGGGCAGGAGAGAGTGTGGTGTCCTGGAAGAACAGCAAGAAGCTGCTGTGCCCTGGGGTTCAGACTGTGGAAGAGGGGACTCCAGGAAGCTGATGAGATAGGCAGGGACTGGACTATAAAGATCTGTGGGTCATGATGCGTGTCTTTGGTCTTTATCCTTAAAGTGATGGAAAGTCAGTGAACAGTTTGAAGCAGGAGAGGGATGTGATCAGATCTGCACTGCACAAAGACCAATTCTTGGCTCTTCTAGGAAACTGGATTGGAGAGGGCCAGAGTATGTGGAAATGACCTGTTGGTAGGGCATTGTACTGATCCAGAGAAGCAATGATGGGTGCTCAGACCAGGATGGCGGGCTGAAGATAGAGAGGCTCCAGGGAGGCAGTCTAGATGCTTAGGAATTAGGACAGAACTTTGTGATGGAAGGAACATGGGGATGAGAAGGAAGGTGTTCAGCTTGACCCCCCGGTTACTAACCTGCACAGCAGGATGCGCGTGGTCCATTCACTAAGCCAGGGGATCCTAGGAGGTGTGGCTACTTTGAGGTGCAGGGGAGAGGTCCAAGTGAGGATGCCAAGCAGGTAACTGCCTCCACTAACATATGAACGAGGCCATGGCATTGATGAGATCGGCTGGGGAAAAGGGCCTAGCCCCAAGCCTGGAGAAATCTCAGATGTAGAGGTCACATGGAGGAGAATACAGGGAAGGAAATGGAGGTAGAGTGCCCAGATGCAGGAGAAATAGAAGTCAGGACAGCCAAAATCCTTTGAGGGCCAAGAAAGACAAGACCTGAAAAATATCATGACATTCAGGCTTATGGAGGCTACAGGTGACCTTAGTGAGACCCAGTGAACAGAGGGATGGCAGCTGGAGAGGATCCATGCTAATATGAAAGAACTATCTGAAGAGTGTGTTCCTTAATTTCAGGGTTGTGCGATGCACAAGTGTGTGCTATGAACACGCCTTGGAAAGGATCCTGTGAGAGTCCTTAACATTTTACCTGTGCACTTTTGTTTTCCTCCTTTCAACAGCCTAAATGGAAACCTGATAAAGCCAGAGGAGGCCAAAGTCTATGAAGATGAGAAGCGGATCATCTGTTTCTGAGAGGATGCTTTCCTGTGCATGGAGTCTTTGCCCCAGAGCCTCAGCAGCAAATGCCACTCTGGAAACATCTTCTGTGTCAGTGTCTTAAAGGGGCCTTGTGGAAGCAGGACCGTCAGGTGTCCACTACTTCCACGATGCAAGCCAGCTTCCTGTGCAGAGGCTCTGGTCAGCAAACTCCCTAACTACCTGCTACACTTCTGCAGAAAGAGAATGTGTCTTGTGAGCTGTTGTTACTCTAAATACACTGTGAAGGGACTTTACTGCATATTGTAATTATTTTTATCTGAAGCTAGAGGAATAAAGCTGTGAGCAGAACAGAGGCCAGCCTCATCCCATCCCAACGCCTCCCATAAGGACCAGCAGGAGCGAGTCGGCCACTGCTGTTTTCACTGAAGAGCTGAGGATATGGCATAAAGTTGGTGCCAAGCTTCGTGACTAAAAGGTGCTTGATGGATAAGTATTAGACCTGAAATATTTTCTTCCTTCTCAGCACTTCCCCATGTATGGATACTGGCCCCCGTTCACAGCTGGAGGTACTGGGGTGTGCGCAGTGTGGGATGTGACTCCTCCAAGGTTTTTGTGGAGACTCATGGCAGGCTTGTGGTGGCTGCTCTGTGAGGGTGGGGTGATATTACCAGATCCCTTGTCCTCTTACCAGCTCATCTGTTAATAAAATACTGAAAATACTCACTCTTTCTAACGGGTTAAGTGTGGAGTTTTTGAAGGACTTGGCCTGGTAAGCTCGCGGTGACTCCTGAGCTCCATCCGGTCTCACTCCACAGATGAAGGCTCATGCCTTTATCACTCTGCCATGGTAGGGCCCGCAGGCCGGGTTTGACGTCCACTACCTTCCCTTGGCTGTTCACTGCTGAGTGGAAGACCCAGGTAGGCCCATGGCAAGGAGCACCGAGCTGCCAGGGGCAGCATGTGACACTGGAAGGCTTGCGGGGCCTCCAACTGTACCTCTGAGTTCTGGGAGTCCAAGCCTGGCTTTGTAGAGCAGCCTGTTAGGTAAGGGACCATTGTGGGGGAAACCCTGTACAGTTGGGCAACTACATGGTGGCAGTTCCCTTAAAGACTCGATGTTGGTGGTTCCTACAAGGCCCCTCCCAACCCATGACCTGAGTATTCACTTATAATCACCCCAAGGCAGCAACTCTCTCCTTGCTGCAGAATCTGGGCAACAAATATGCCCAGAAAGAACACGGGAATGAGCATGGCCTGCTGAAGGCAAAAGGGGGAGTACCACAGACCTCAGACTCACCAAGTCTCACTGAGAAGCTCACTTCTTAGCAGACAAAATTCACATTTCATTAAGCTGCTGAAACTAAACCCTTGAGAATCTAAAATTTACTCAAAAACTACTGAATGTTACTGCTTTTAGAGACTATTGAAATTAAAACTGCTGCCTCTAGGGAATTAGAATTTGCGTGGTATTGACTTAAATTCTATTTGGAAACACTTTGATTTTCTAGATGGTGAGTGGTAGATTTTCAGTTCCCCCTGTAAAACTGAGATCGGGCTCCTAATTGGATGGAAAGCTTCTCTTATTAGAAACAGGTGAGCTTCTGAGCAGAGACGTGGAGATTTTTCCTAATCAAGAAAAAGACAATTGAAAAAAAAAATTCTGTAAAAGAGGGATGTGACTCTTTCCACAGGACATCTTGGGTGATTTTGATGAAAAGCTACATACAGCTCCCATATTACATACCTGCACTTGTGTCCTGTCCATGCTGACATGGAACTTCTTTAAAAAGCCATGTGGAACCACTGTCTGGCCAGGTGCTATTCGCTCTCTGGAGCACCCTAGCTGCGTGGCTTTGGAGCAGTCTAAGACTGTCAGAATCTTGATTTCCTCCTTGAAAAAGAAATGAGAGAATCTGACTCAAAAGGTTATTGACAGGATTAAATGAGTCATGGAAAGTAGATGGCACAGAGCCTTGCACAGGGTCCTGCTCAATGTATGGCAGTTACCATCAAGCCAATGGGTCTCATTTCCGCTCCCTGTGGGACTCCCACATTGTCCCCTTCTCACTCATAGTCTTGAGGAACTTTCCAACAAGGTCAAATACAGGACTGGGAGTTCTCAAAGTAAGCCCCCAAAATACTCAACATCAAGCTTCCTGCAATAGCCTACCTTTGTCAGTGAAAAGCACAGCCTGTAGTTTTCATTATTATTACCAAAGAGCATACTGCCATTAAGTGTCAACTCACTGAACACAGGGGGCACCTGTGTCTTCACTGCTCAATGAAGAACAGAGCAGGAGCTGGCACCGCCCTACGGAGCCAGGCCCACGAGCCTTTGCCAAGTGGGAAGGAGCTTTCTGCTTGTCCCTATTTTGTTTCACTTCCAGGTGGACCAAAGGTCTGTTTGCAGTAACCAATTGCTTACTTACAGGAAAAAACCTTGTTCTAGAGCTGAAAGGTAAAACCATGACCATTAACCCAGGTTCAAAAAGAAGAATTTTAATGAAAGTAGAATTGCCTTGTGAGGAGGCTGAGACTCATGTTACCAGGGGACATCCCAGCACTGCTCTCTCAACCTTAAAATCGAATGAGCTGCACCCGAGACCAGCTTAAGACTCTTAGAGACATTAAGTACTGAAAAGGTTATAGGCCCCTCTGATCTATGATAAAAAATTTAAATAGTAAATTATAAAATAAGTCCAAGATGTTAAACAAGTTTCTGATTTTTCCCCATGACTGCCTAGGTGCTTTTTCAGGCCAATAACAAATATTAAAGTGTCTCAATTTTTTCCTTGACTTTTTTTTGTTATAAAGTGTGTTTATTTGTGTTATCAAAGTAATGTTGTTACCCAGTGTAACGCCTATGTGACCTAAGTAAATTTCTCCCCACCTTAACTCTGCCTATCTTTAGGAAACAGGAAGTCTGTGGTCAAAAGCTCCCCATCATGACCAAACCAGACAAGAGTGGTGGGATCCAAGATAGCAGCTAACTTGACCTTTGAAGAACCTCTAACATCATTATAATCTAATTTCCATGCTAAATGACACTCCCACCAGTGCCATGACAACTGACAATCACCATGACAATGACCAGAAGAAACCATAAAAGGAAAAACAAGGGGGACAAAAACTCTGGTTCGGAGAAGTTATCTCATTCCCAGAAAAGACATGAATATTCTTCACCTTGCTTTTAATTCCCCGACCCCTTCATTAAAGATGCCCCATAACCATGACTTCCTGGCTCTCATGGGGGATATCCTATATCTGTGATTTCTTGGCTGTCATAGGAGATGGCCTGTCTCTCATGGACTGAGAAGTTGATTTATGCACCAGGCTCCCAATTATCAATTCTATGGGCATCAAATAAAGCCTGGACTGGTAGATGCACACTTTTGATTTTGTGTATTGGCTTTGTGGCACCAAACAGGAAAATATTCCACTTTAGGGGGGATAGGCTTTGTCAATAATGTAATAATGTTAAAGGGAAAAATTTAACGTTTATAATAACAACACTAACACAGCTATTTTAATTTTTGTATATAATCTTCCATGCTTTGCCTACTTTGAGACCTCTTTTTTTTTTTTTTTTTTTTTTGAGACGGAGTTTTGCTCTTGTTACCCAGACTGGAGTGCAATGGCGCGATCTCGGCTCACCGCAACCTCCGCCTCCTGGGTTCAGGCAATTCTCCTGCCTCAGCCTCCTGAGTAGCTGGGACTACAGGCATGCGCCACCATGTGCAGCTAATTTTTTGTAGTTTTTTTTTAGTAGAGATGGGGTTTCACCATGTTGACCAGGATGGTCTCGATCTCTTGACCTTGTGATCCACCCGCCTCGGCCTCCCAAAGGGATTACAGGCGTGAGCCACCACGCCCGGCCTGAGACCTCTTTTTACAGTTATAATCACAGAGTACATTAACAGTTCTTTTTGTCAAACATTTTCTCACATTGTTAGCTTTATAATCATTTATGATTATATTCTACCAGTTTGAGAATTTGCTTAATAATATTCCAGACATTCAGGTTAGACCTTCAAGTTTCCAGATTGATTGTGGTGGTGGTCACTATAGACACTATTTCTATGGAATTAAAAGTCTTTATGGTTATTTCTTTGGAATGAGATTATCAAGGCAAAGATTCTTGCTATTAATTAGCTGGGTATAATGATGTATAGCTGTGGTCCCAGCTATTCCAGAGGCTGAGGTGGGAGGACTGCTTGAACCCAGGAGGTCAAGGCTGTAAGTGAGACTGGGCAACAGAGTGAGACCCTATCTCAAAAGAAAAACAAAACAAAAAAACCATATCCTTGCTATGAAATATTTTTAAACCTATGTTAAGGGTGTAATAAGTTTGCAAGCAAGTGAAAATTGTAATGTGAAGCCAGCAGTGTCTCCTTTGAATAGAATAAAACTCCCTGCCCCAACCATCAGACCAGACCAGTGTTCAGGTACTGCCCACACATATACATGTGCTATGTCTAATGACTGGCTGCAGGGAAGAATAAATCAACACATCTGTTTTAAAGTGGCACTATTGAAGATAACCACTTACTAGTGTGCAAGTGTCAGAATCTTTAAAATCAAGTTTTCCTTGATTTAAAAACTTTTTGTTTATAAATGTATGTATCCTTGCTTTGCCTAAATAAACCCAGCCAGATTAACCCATGAACATCATGCCAAATAAAAACTTCTTCCTCCCAACAACCCTATGAAGTAGAATTATTTCCTGAATGAGGAAACCGAGGACTAATAATATGAATATATATCTTATTAATCAAGATTTGTATAAAAATGAAAAAAGCAAAATAAACTCTTCAGGCAAGGAATATAGGCAAAGGCAGAATGTTTTGCCTGGCAATATCTAAGATTTCAATCTCCTCATTTTCCCAGTGAGAAAACTGGTATCAGAGAGCAAAAGAGACTTACCCAAGGTCACTTTAATTACTGGAAGAACAAGAACTAGAACACAGGGCTTCTGTCTGGTTTTATTTTCCCTATGCTCTGGTAGGGTTTGTGACCTTCAGGTCACTCTGCAACTGACCTCCTTTCTGCCAAACCTGCTACCTGGTGACACAGGACTTTTTTCTTGGTCACTTTGCAAGCTGGGGACCTCTGGTCAGAGACACTCCACCTGGGCCTTGCTAAGTCATGCTACCTGCTGCAGGAAATGGCCCACCTAGGCCAAGTCTGGCTTGTGCACTGGTTCCCAAGTGCTTGTCCCACGTTCAAGAAGAACGAGGATACACTGACAATTGAAGAGTAAGCAAGGCAGGGAGTTTGAATGATTAAACAGCTTTCAGTGGAGAGGGGACACAGGGATAGTCCCCCTACCTGAAGGTGGGGAAGCGCCCCACATGGTGGCTGAGTCTGGAGCTTTTATGGGCTCAGAATGGGAGAGGGGCAGGTCATAGGTAGTATTGGAAAAGGCAACATTTGACTGGCTAAAAACATTATTCAGAAAGAATCAATCAGGAAAGGGAGAGAAAAAAGGAACACAAGTTCTGACTCTGGGTCATGGCTTTCACCGGGGACCAGCAGTCCAGTCTTTGAGCCCTCAGGCTGTTTTTTGGCTTTAAGGGAGGGCTTCACCTGGGACCTGCCCCATTTGCCTAGGCATTTGGCTGCCTCCTGTCACTATCACTGGTTCCAATCTACTAGGGCAAGTTAAGCAAAATGAAACTCTTTCCCCAAGGACACGGATCCGGTCTCTTTAATGTTCCTAGGATTTCTTCAGGAAGCCTGATCTTTTTCCTATATCCAGGTGCTAAAAGTTAGACTCTGGGGTCATGTCTCATGACTGGAGTTACAGGCTGGGAGCGCCCTGCAGAATGGCAGGTGACATCTTGACTCTACAGAGCCAACAGCTTCATCACTGGCTGCAAATACTCCATCCCCAAACCATGAGACTGGACAAAAGGAAGTAAATGGGTGCATTCCAGAGAAGTGAAGAAGGTTGCAACTGAGTGACTTTCATCACAAGAGGGCAGCATGTGTCCAGTAATTAATCCATTATGTAAATGGCCAAAGGATTCAACTGTGGGTGAGGTCTGGTGGCTGGCACATTGTTCTATTTAAATAAGACTCACACCAAAGTACATTGTGTTAAAAGCAATTTTAAACCTATTCATCCATGAGTTCAAAGACATCAATAAGTGCAAGAATTAGCTGAGGGCACATTAGAAGACACTATTGTGCCAAGTTCTCTGGGGACTGAGGATCTGGGTTCAAATCCTAATGCTACCAGAAGCTGTGTGACCTTGGACAAATGACCTAGCTTTTCTGTACCTGAGCTCCCCATCCATACAAGTTTATAAAACAGTGCCCCCTTTGCAAGACTGTCTGATTGTGACTGAATGAATTAATAAGAGTAAAGCACTTTAAACAGTACTCAGTATTAATTCCTGTTACCTAATGAGAACTTTTTCCTCCAGCACTGCCTTAATAAGCATCAGGGATAGGGTAAGAGAAAAAAGGAGACTCTGTCAGGCCATCCTTCCTAACGTGAAGAGCCCCTCCACAACACTGCCATTTTCAAACTGATAGCAAGTCTAGTCTTTTAAGCCCAGAGACCAGAAGCCATTTCCAAGGCTGAATACCTGTGGGATTGGAACTATACTGTCTGTACTTGAAACTGTCTTCAGTCTTATTCTGTTAAGGAGTTGCGTGTCCCAGTGAACACATATCCAGAAAGAAACATGGATTAGGTAAGCCAAAAATCAATTTGCATTTTGATTTGATTTCACAGATGTTAGAGTGCATCATCTGGCTTTCCACACTAAAATCTTACGATTAAAGGTTCTTTCTTACTTTCATGTCAGCATGTGGTTCTCTTTCCAGCACTCCTTTCATTCACTGATGAACACTGCTCCTGATTCCCCTGCATGTAGCAAACAAAAATGAATGAGCGAAGCAGAAAGGAGTGTAGGACAGGAGGGAGACGAGAACAGAACAGAAAGGGAGGAAGAAAGTGGGTGAGCTAATTCCTGAAAGCTTGACTTCCACCCTCTATTGCCACCATCCTATTGCTGTGTCTGGAGACTGGTCTGGTGCCTGAGGCTATCAGCTGCATCCTGAGCACATTGACCTTGCCTGGAGCATGTAAGCACATTGCCTGCTGAACAGCTGTGGGGGACAGCTCAGCTGCCCACGGTGCTTTCAGATTCCCAACTGGATATTCACTAGGTGACATGTAAGCTCATCTTCCTTCTGCTGAGAAAATGCACTTAGCTTGCTTCCAATTCACTTTCCCAGGAGGACTCACTGGTGGTCAAAACTCTTCAACTTGAATCCTCTAGTCCATTGCTTCTCATTATCGCCCCTGTAAGGAGACATTTTAGGTATTTCCCCCTAATCTCCCTCCCATCCTGAAATTTCAATACCACGGATATGCTGTCTGTTTATGTACAATTGAAGTCCTCTGAAGGCCACAAACCATCGAATATCTAAGTTCCTTTTTGTCTCCCAACAATCAATATTGCCCCTGTGGGGATGATAAAGCCCTCACTGAAAACCTCATCAAACCCTAGATAATTCTTCCCATGCTTGCCCTCTCCAAGAACCCTTCTGTCACCCTCTCTTTCTGTGTAGAGTGATTTGCTTTCTGCACATTATTCAACTTTCAATACATCTCAATAGTTATAAATCTAACATTCTCATTCTCTTTTCACTCTATCCCAAAGACAGTTTTATCTATGTGTAAGAACTGGGCTTGTGTTAGGAAAAGCAGTGCTATCTGTGAAAGGGGAACAGGCTTTCCTAGCAGGGACAGTTGTCTGAAGTATTCTGGCCTCAGCTGCTTCAGAGATGAATTTCTGCAACGTTGTCCCCAGTTACAGCCACCTGGCCTTTGGGGAGAACTTGAGGCTAACTTCGGCTTTGCTGCTGTCCCACTTCCCTTTCTCACTTCCCAGTTTCCCCTCCCTCACTCCCTAAGAGACCCAGGGATACCCAGAATTCCCTTTTAAAATAGAACCCAGGTCTCTGCCACTCCAGGCTGCCTACTTCCCACATCAGTCCAACCCATGCATCACTGCTGAGCTTAGCTGGGTGTTGGGGACATCAGACTCATTCAGGTAATTCAGAATAAAATACAACTGTCTCCAGGACTGCTCATATCAGACAGTTTACTATCAGAAGAGGAGCTGGCAGATCCTAAAACTCTACTTACAAACAAAGGACGAGAAACTTCAGGTCAAGATAATCTTCAGTTCTCCTCAATTGTCTTCCCCACAGTTCCAGAATCATTCCAGAATAGGGCTGGCATTTCTGAAAAAGTTTGATCCCTGCAACACCTTAAGCAGAGCTCAAAGTCCATCTGCTTTCTATCTAGCCAACCATCCGTTTGTTTCACAAATACTGAACATCTGCTTTAGGCCAAGTACTATGCTGGCTGATAGGAAATAGTTAATGTTATGTCTGGACTTTTTCCCCGACTTGCAAGTTAGTAAGTTAAACTGTTACTGTTTTGTGGATGCTGGCACAGGACACGAGCCTCCTGGGTCAGAGCGCAGCACTTTATGATCCACAGAGCAGTCAACAACGTGAGCACAAGCATGTCTGCATCCGCCACTGTGGCCCTTAGCCCACGAAGACAATGTGCTGGATGGGGCACAGGTGGATGCCACACATACAGTGGCTTTGCATGGCAGGTGAACAACACTGAGCCTGAGGAGCCTGCCATTTTATAGCAAACAGTGGCAAGTCTGCTTTCTGAACTGGAGGGAGCTATTATTTTATCCTCAAGATAAAGATCTTCAGAGCTATTTTGTGCATTCTGCGGCTGGGTCTTCAATCAGTGGAGAAAATTTTGTGATGGCATCTGAATCCACCAGGAACATCAGTGCCTGTATTGGTCACAACTTTTCTGGTGGCAAATAACAAAATCCTTCTCTGAGTATCTTAAGCAAATGGGGGCATTTACAGGATAAATCCACTGGGGACTAGCACACCAGCATGGAAATTCCAGGGGCAGGAACCAAGATAGTTTCTTAACCAAGAAAGTTAAGAAAAAAGAAGCAGGATCAATACAGCCAGTACTCCACTGATACATTCATGAATGACTTCTAATAGTATCTTCTTGGTTTTACTCTCAATATTCAAAGTTTTTGGTAGACATAGCCAATAAACCAAGGTCATGTCACAGGCACTGTGTCAGCTGCCAGGAGACAGAGAGAAGGAGGATGTTAGCCCCTTTGTCTTTCATAGTGGGAGCTGGGGAACTGTCACCCACCCAGATGACTCACAATGGGAGATATTCCCAGAATAGAAAAGGGCATAACAGGAAAGGGTGAAGGATGGCACGGGGGGCAGTGACGGTACAGGGAGTCAAGAATGATTCACGGGCTTTTGGATTGTGGGGCCATTCTGAAACTACCAGGAAAGAACTGACTTTTGTTTGGAGGGAAGTGTGAGTGAGGAGGAAGCACAGGTTCGGTGTGGACATAAACTGAGCCTGAGGTGCCTGTGAGATAAACAACTGGAGATACATAGGGTTGGGGCTTAAAGAAGAGGTCCCAGATGGAGAAACAAGTTTGAGACTCGACAGGAGATAGATGGTACTGAAGACACGGTCAAAGATGAGGCCAACCTAGCGCGAGAGGAGAGTGAGAAAAGACCAAGCGCGGAGTCTTGATGAATTGTCAATTACAGGTAAGGTAAAGGAGGATGAGCCTTCAAAGGAAACTAAGACAAGGCCAGAAAGGTTGACGGAAAAGCAGAGGGATAGTGGTGTGATGTTGAGAAGAAGTCGACCACCAGTAAATAAAGTTTCATGCCCATGGAATTAGTGACGAGAAAGCCACGGGTCACCCTAATAAGAGCTGTTTTCATAATAGCAAGGAAACCAGACCGAAAGGATTGAGAAATAACTGGAAGATGAGGATATCCTTTAAGAAATAACATGGGGGTTGGGCGCGGTGGCTCATGCCTGTAATCCCAGCACTTTGGGAGGCCGAGGTGGGTGGATCACCTAAGGTCAGGAGTTTGACACCAGTATGACGAACATGGCAAAACCCTGTCCCTACTAAAAATACAAAAATTACCCAGGTGTGGTATTGAGCACCTATAATTCTAGGTACTCAGGAGGCCGAGGCAGGAGAATCGCCTGAACCTGGGAGGCAGAGGTTGCAGTGACCAAGATGGCACCACTGCACTCCAGCCTGGATGACAGAGCAAAACTGTGAGGAAAGGAAAGGAAAAAGGGAAGGAAAGGGAGGAAAGAAAGAGAAAGGCAGACAGATGATGTGAAGGGAACAGGATATGACAGGAGCTCAAAGGGGATATGGAGTCTAGGGAGGGTTACTGCAACTGACTTAAAACGAAGGGAGCTCAATGTTAATGGCAAATATGAAACTGGGAGAATGAATAAGGTTCACTTCTTTAAATCCCAATTCTACTAACCTAAATGTATGATGTATTGGTAAATATTTTATTCTCATATATAGACCTGAAAAGTAAAAAAATACATGATTTTTATTCTATCCAAAACAGATATTATTAAATAGAACTTGATTCAGGGGTTATGAAAACAGCCTCAGAGCAGGACTCTGGTATTAAATACATGACTAAGATGTTGTATATATGTAAATGATTTGCCTAACTTGTACATATGGCAGATTGTTGCAGTGAGTAGTCCCCAGTAAATCATACTCCCCTCTCCCCAAGTGACTCACGCTGGATAATGGCCTGTCGGCAAACACGAGGCAAGCAGGAGCTTGAGACATACTTGCAGACTGGGGCTTGCCCTCTCTTGCTGCTGAGAACTCTTCCACCACCACGTGAATAATCTCAGGCAGGCCTGCTGGAGACACACGGTCCAGCCAGCACCTATTTCCAGACATGTGAGTGAGGCACTGCTGGACCAACTAGCCCCTGGCTGCCTATCTGCTCATGGCAGCTGCATGAACAAGTAGGGGCAAGAGCCCAAATTTCTGACCCGCAGAATCATGAGTTAATTTAAGATTGTGGTTTTAAGTTGCTAAATGTTGGGGGTAGTTTGTTACCCAGTAAGAGATAATTGAAACAGTACATAAAAAGAAGTCTAAGTGCTATAATAATACATAAAATGCTAAATATACAATGGCTTAAACACAATAGTAGTTTATCTCTTGCTCACATAAACAGTCCAGACAGGCTTCAGACTGGTGGCAGGGGGCTCTGTCCCATACAGTCACTCAGAGACTCAGGATGTCAGCCTTTGTCGTCATCAATGTATGGTTCCCAAGGTCACCTTAGGCATCATCAGCCAGACAGCAAAAGCAGAGAGAGCACAGAGGACAGCAAATGGGAAGTTTTACTGGGCCCAAGCCAAGAAACATGACATGTCTTCTCCTCACATTCCATAGGCTAGAACCCAGTCACGCGACCAAACCTAAGTCATGAAGGAGTAGTTGTGTACCTAGGAAGATGAGAAAACAATATGATAAACAACAGATACCACAGAATTGTACTGGCTTTTTTTTTTTTTTGGAAATAAAAATCATGTTTGTCAGATGCATAATGGGAACAGGCTGAGGGCCAGAAAGATCTGGGTAAGATTTTGGTTCCACACTTGTTAACTGTGTGACCTGGGAGTATTACTTAATCCAGACAGACTTTCATTTCTTTATCTGCAAGACAGGGAAATACTTTTTTCAATGGATTGTTGTGAACATTAGTGTAGTTTAATCTCTATACTTGGTAGAGTGTCTGGTATATGATCGGTGTTCAATAAATAGTAGCTACTGGGATTAACTAAATTGAATGGTATGATAAACAAATCAAAGAATATGGAGGGAAGAGTAACACTAAGCTGTCCAGATAGCAGTAGTATTAGTCACGATGCTTCCAAATTTAAATTACTGAAGTCCAACTCAGTGTAATCAAAAAGGGGGATTTACTAGAATGATACAAAGAGATGAGGTGACTCTCGACATCAGAGGGAGAACTGCAGACTGGAACCCCTTTCAGGACTTCAGAGGCTCAGTCTTTTCTTGTTTTTCCTGTTCTGTGTCCACTTATATTCTTTACTTCATTCTCCCCAGTTATAGACGCATCTTTTGCATGTCTCAACAGAATCCAGAACTGCTAATTTTAAAATGTGTGATAATAGTATTGTAGTTATGTTTTTAAAGAGTCTTTTATGTGTAGAGATACACATTGAAGCAGTATGGATGAAATGATATCAAGGTTTTGCTTTAAAGTAATACATTTTAATATGTTTGGGGATAGAGAGTGCAGATGACACGACTGGCCATGGGTTGGTAATTGCTGAAGTTAGGGGATGGCTGTGGCATTTCACTAGACAGTCAGCTCCCTGTATCCTGTGGGTTCTACATCTGCGGATTCAGCCAGCCTCAAATCAAAAGTGTACTTAGATCTATGATGGGTGTACTGAGCATGCACAGGTTTTTTTTCTTGTCATTCCTTAAACAATACAGTATGACAACTATTTACACAGCATTTACATTGTATTAGGTACTACAAGTAATCTAGAGATGATTTAAAGTATGTAGGGAGGATGTGCATAGGTTATGTGCAAATACTCTGCCATTTTGTAGCAGCAACTTAAGGGTCAGCAGGCATTTGTATTCACAGGGGATCCTCAGACCAGTCCCTCACAGATACTGAGGGATGACTGAACTGTCCTCTCTACTTTAATATATATTTGAAATTATGTTAAAAAATGAAAACAAACAAAGGCCCAAGACTCATCTTGTCTTGGCATAGCAATTCAAGAAAAGGAACAAATTGGGTTGGCCCATCTTATGTCAATTTTCTAGCTGTGATTTTCTGCCTTGGTGAAAGCTTTACGTAGTTAAAAGGTTAGAGTGATCAGCATTTTCATCCACTTGGGTATGACCGTTCTGGATTTTGACAGAAATGGGTAAAATGATATACAGAAATTAGGACTTGACAGGGTTGAACTCACAACCATCTTTTCATGACCACTTTGCTAAAACACTTTTTCCATTTTTCTTACATCACTTAAGGAAAGCAGAGCTATTTTGGCAGTGTTTTCCTCAAGCACCACGGTATTTAATAGCCTCAGGAGAGGCAAGTTCAGAGAAAAAGGCACAAAGCCTGAAAAAGCTATGGATCTATTTTCTAGTGATGGAGATAATAAGCCTTCAGAATAGTCATATGTATACTAAAGGTATCTAATCAGATGTTCAATACATCAGAGATCTTCTTGCCAGCAGCACAAAAGAAAAGGAGTAAGGTTGAGAGCTAGTTACTATTGCTTTCTTATATGATGTATTTTCTAAAGGGAAAGAAAGCTGTTTATTACACTCAAGGTGTGCATGATTTGTAATCATGTTGTTTGAACTGGTTGATCTCATGTATTATGTTGATCACATAAAAAATTAAGGATCAGGCCGGGCGCGGTGGCTCAAGCCTGTAATCCCAGCACTTTGGGAGGCCGAGGCAGGTGGATCACGAGGTCAAGAGATCGAGACCATCCTGGTCAACATGGTGAAACCCCGTCTCTACTAGAAATACAAAAAATTAGCTGGGCATGGTGGCACGTGCCTGTAGTCCCGGCTACTCGGGAGGCTGAGGCAGGAGAATTGCCTGAAGGCAGGAGGCGGAGGTTGCGGTGAGCCAATATCGCGCCATTGCACTCCAGCCTGGGCAACAAGAGCAAAACTCCGTCTCAAAAAAAAAAAAAAAAAAAATAATTAAGGATCAAGGGGAAGAAGGTATTGATAACCTTAGAAAAAAAGCCTAGGGGTGGGGCGCAGTAGCTCACGCCTGTAATCCCAGCACTTTGGGAGGCCAAGGTGGGCGGATCACTAGGTCAGGAATTTGAGACCAGTCTGGCCAACATAGTGAAGCCTCGTCTCTACTAAAAATACAAAAAATCAGCCAAGTGTGGTGGTGTGCACCTGTAATTTCGGGCACTTGGGAGGCTGAGGCAGGAGAATCGTGTGAACCTGGAGGCGGAGGTTGCAGTGAGCCGAGATCCCACCACTGCACTCCAGCCTGGGCGACAGGGCGAGACTCCATCTCAAAAAAGAAAGAAAAAAAGCCTAGGAGTACAGGGAGCCAGAATTCCTTGGCTATAACCTAGTCTTTGGCCAAAAGAAAGTGTATTTGGAATTTAACTTTTATAATTAGACATCTTTACTAATCAGTCTCAATTGTTATATCCAAATCAGACTTTTAATTTTCACAGATGTGCCAGATTGTCTGTTTCATAGATGGGCATCACAATACATCCCATTTCACGTGCTTCTCTTACTATGTAACATTGACACTCCTTCCATCAGGAGGTAGAGTCTGTCTTCTCCCCGTGCACCTAGCAAGACCTTCATGTCCTTCTTGACCAACAGGGGATGGTGGAAGTGACTCTGTGTGACTTGTGAGACAAGATCCTAAAAGTCATGTACTTCTGCCTTATTCTTTTGGGATAACTGTTCTTGGAACCCAGCCACTGCAGTGAGAAAGTCAGGCCGCTCCATGGACATGCCATGTGTAGGTGTCCTGGCAAATAACCCCAGCTGAGGTTCCAACTTACAGCCACCGTCAACCACCTGACGAGAATGAGTCTTCCGTTGATGCCAGCCCCAACCTGCTGAGTCACTGCCAATTCCAGCTGATACTATCAGGAGCAAAGATGAGCTGTAGTGCCAACTGCAGCCCAAATTGCAGATTTTTGAATAAAATAAATGACACTAAGTTAAAAATGCTTTGTTGGCCAGGTGCAGTGGCTCATGCCTGTAATCCCAGCACTTTGGGAGGCTGAGGTGGGTAGATCACGAGGTCAGGAGTTCAAGGCCAGACTGGCCAACATGGTGAAACCCAAACCTGTCTCTACTAAAAAATACAAAAATCAGCTGTGCATGGTGGCTCCTGCCTGTAATCCCAGCTACTTGGGAGGCCGAGGTAGGGGAATTGCTTGAACTAGGACCCAGGAGTTGGAGGCTGCACTCCAGCCTGGGCTACAGGGGAATTGCTTGAACCAGGACCCGGGAGTTGGAGGCTG